CATATGTGTAAATAATAATTCTGTAGGTTTTGATAGATTTGGTGTTCGGAGGTATTAAAGTTGAATGTTATAGTTTGTAGACATCTTCTATTGTTAGGGTAAATAGTATAGATGATATTAGAGCTCCTACTTTGACATTGGTACTGGTATATCTGATTTCTATTTTCAAGCTGTACATATATATATATTCAAATGTTAGCACAAATGTGATGTGTGATTGGTATATTCTTGGCAGTAAAGTTTTGAAAAATGCATGTAGTTTTGGTGACAAAACTTTTAGCTAGGATGAAGTTGATGATATCGACTTGCTCTATTAATGTTTTGTAGAAGTAATAATTTTGTTCGTTTGATAGATTTGGTCTTCTAAGGTGAGTTGACTGTTATAGTTTTTTATGATGTGGAATACAATTATTGCTAGGGAAAATAGTTTGACATTGGTATTGTTATAATTCCCGATTCTTTGTTTGAAGCTGTACCATATCTTCAGATGTTTTGTGTAGGAAATGTTTTGATCTATGTATGTAGTTTTGGTGACAATAGAGCTAATATACTTTAGCTGGGATTGAGTTTGTGCTATCGTTTAGTTAGTAATCATATTTGCCATCCCATATTAACCTTTTAAGGAAGCAATAATTCTGTAGGTACTTCTGAGGTATCAGAATTGAATGTTATAGTTTGTAGATTATTGCTAGGGTAAACAGTTCAGGTGATATTAGAGCTCCTACTTTTGAAATTGGTAATGTTTGAAGCTGTATAGTTGATGTGTAATTTATATAGTCTCAGCAGCCAATGTTTTGAACAATGTAGTTTTGGTGAAAATGGAGCAAATATTTTAGTTGAAATGGAGTTACTTTCCTGAATTAATGTTTCGAGAAGAAATAATTGTGTAGTTGTTTGATTGACCTCTTAATTGAAAACAATAATTATTGGCCAGAACGATTTATTACTTTTAGTATACAAGGGGTGCCAAACTGTTTTATAATTGTTTTTTAGGCCCCCATTTCTGTTTTGAAACGTTTCTTTATATTGTTTTAATACTTGTTTTGTTGAATGTGTTCATTAAAAACTGCTAATACTAATTAGTTGAAGAAAGTTTATACTTTTGTTTAGATAATACTTTTAGTATTAGAACATTGTTTTTAAAGTTTATTTTGAGGATTAGTTTATTTTATTTGTTTTTTTGTTTTATTTTGTTTGTTGGCAAGTTTGAAATATTTTGATAATTTTGTGTTCTGGCCAATTCTGCTAAAAAAAAAATGTATGAACTTTGTTATATGAAAGTTTTGGTAATTTATTAAATAATCTCCACCTCTTGCGTTTAAACGATAAACAACTGGTATAAAATCAATGAGTTTGCGAACATTTTTATTAGTCTAAACTCAAAAGAAAGGCGAATAACTTTTAAGAATAATAATTTTCATTATATGAAAAATTTGTAGTTTATAATGTAAAAAGTTTTTTTGTATATACTTTTGTTTTTGTTTGAAATAAAATTTGGCACATTCTATTTTGTTTTATTTTCACAATATAATCAATGTTTGGCCATATTTCTCGCACTAAATGATTAACTAATAGAATTAAGCTTCGGAAAACCAAAGGCTTTAATGTTTTAAATCTAGTTGAAATAAGAGGGTAAACTCTAGATTTTTACTGATTTTTTTCACACGTTCCCATCAAATGTATAAAAATGTACATCGTCATATATAACTGCATTTTGGAGTCAGAAAATCGAATTTTCCATATGTTAGCCCCAAAATCCACTCGTAAAGTTCTCAAGATCGATGTACTTTTCAACCTTTTTCGAGACTTTACGCAATAAAAGTACACTCTGAGCATCAAGTATTTCACTATTTCATTCAGACGTAAATGTCAGATGTAAATTTCGCTAAAACATTTCTTTTATTTTCGTTTGTGTTTTTTGCTCATTACAGTTTAATAGAACCTAAGTATGGAGTTTAATAGCAAATTAAGAGGCCGCGTGATTAACAGTCAATCTCGCGAAATAATAGCCAATGTTATAGAGTTTATGAGAAGAGAAGGAAACTTTAATTCACCTTCAATACCATTTAAAAATGTAAATGATCGTGTTGCTGCAGCCACAGGAGTATCTAAAAACACTGTCGTCTGCATTTCTGGAGAGAAAAAAGAATCGATAACCGTGAGATATCGGAATTTTCATCACCAAGAAAAACCATTAAAAAACCAAAAACAGTTAATGATATAGATGAAGCTGCACAAGAATCAAATTTTATTTTTTTATTATTAGATAGCTATTTTTGTTTCTGAGTTGTGTTCATTTACAGGCTCAATTTTTTTCCGTTTCTCCTTTTTGATTTTATATGGGGTTTCAAGTTGTTTTTGACTTATTTCGACGTAAATCACAACAACACACTTTTTTAATAAAGCAAACAAGTGTTAAGAGGTATATGTACGTGTAAACTACAATTACAAAAAATTGATATGAAACCACTGATCTGTATTATAATACAGATCAGTGTATGAAACCCATGAAACCACCAACAAAAATGTAAAGCTAGCTTCCGTACTAGAACATGGTGTCATTCGTCGAGATAATTTATAAATTTGTTTAATAGATCAAGAAATGTAAATATTCCCCTGTTATTTTTTATAAAATTATAAGAGAAATAAATTTTTTTCTAAATAGTATAGTTTATTATTTTGTAGAAAAACAAAATTTCGAAAATTTTAGTAATGTTTCAGAAACAACCGTTATTAATAATAGGTACCATTTTCCTTAATAAGGTAGAAATAAAATATAAACTATTTCCACGATTTACAAAGGCCTACAAAAAAATTATAGGTATTTTCCGCTATCCTATAAAATTTATATTTTCTGACTCGATTTCAAAAGGTTGAAGGAATTCCAAAACACCTTTTATGGCATAATAATTATTTTCAATTCTACATACTATCTTTAGCTGCTTTTAAAAACGTTCTAAGAAAGTCCAATCAGACCAATTTAATGCCTAAACTATTCCACACTTTTAAAATTTAATTACCTAAAAATATTAAAAACTATTTAAAATAACTTGTTTAGCAGACTGTTAGCTATCTTAGTCACACGTAGCGCGTTCTCTGTCTGGGCGTCGAACACTTCTAGAAATTTGATGAACTGTATTAGATAAAAACTCGATGAATTAGACAAAAATAGGGTAGCGCTATCTTTATCGACCTTACAAAGTATTCGACACGGTTAGCCATCTAAAACTGATTGATACACCACTCGAGATTGGTTGTAGAGGTCAAAATAATCAATTACTTCGTTTATATTTAATAATCTGTGGTAATTATTAATGATGAGTTGGTCAGCAAAATCAGAAAATGATTCATGTATTGTCCTACAAGGAACTGTACTAGGACCTGCATTGTTTATAATATACACATTTAAATCATTTATTTGCGATTAATACAACTGATAAAATGATCAGTTTTGCTGACGAAACCGCAATTATTTCTAGGCATTTTCTAATATTTATTGATGCCATCTAGTATTTATCAAAACCGTTCTTCTATCTATCAAACATTTTTAGATGAGTCATACATCATTAAATTCATCATTAAATTCAACCCAAAGATTAGGGACATAAACCACATACTTTGATTGCTATACGGTGCAAGAGAGAGGTCCGACACACGGCTATTTTGATGCCTTTACCACAGTTTATACTAAAGAATAGGTTTGCTCACTCTGCGTCGGCACTTTTGATCTCAATGTTCCAGTTTATACATTGCGCAATTAGGATAGTACACATACGTACTTTGATAGAATGGTAACACAGCGCAGCTTTCTGAATGCCTGTTAAAAGGAGATAGAAAACTCCGCCATTTTGTTCCCTTATTACGTGTTGCCTACATCTTGGCGCAATATTTTTAATAGGTGCGTTTTAATCATCCGCTTCTGCTTCGGAATTGTCGGTTTTCTTGTTTTAATCTGACAGGTTAAGACGACGCAGAGTGAGCGATCTGATTGTTTAGCTATAAACTGTGGCATAGGAATCAAAATAGCCGCGCCCATGTTGGGCGTGTCGGACCTCTCTCTTGCACCGTACAGTAATCAAAGTATGTGTTGTAGACAGACAGTAGACGTGGACTGTAGTGGACAATTTGTAAATATTTCATAGTTTTTATGCTTATCAAAAAGTGATTAGAATTATTTGTTTTCATTAAATAAAGACAGTTTGACAGTTAAGATTACAAAATCACAAATATCAGTCGTTCTTAAATAATTTTCATCAGATAAAAATTAGGATTGCATATTAGGCATTCCAAACAAATGAATTACCAGTGGGCAGGTTTGGTATATCTAAGGGTGGCGACATATGGTGTATTCTATCTACTTTACGTAAAATCATGAATAATGGATTACATTTAAATATTTTATGTCAAACACAATAAAAATAATATTTAAAAAAAACCTACCTATACATTTCTTCATAAATTGGCAGGCTTGGCGAGTACTACTTCGAATAAAAATAGCGTCCAAGTTGCAAGACTATGTCGCTACCCCCTTAAATATACAAGAATTTCCCACTGGCACCTATTGTTTGACAGGTCCTTGGAATGCCTAATTAGAAAACGTCTACCTTAAAAGTCAAGTTGACTTATTTTGACCTCTATAATAAGCAGTAGCTCGATGTACTAGTAATATTGGGATACCCTGTATAAAACATTGTTTAATGTAACTTCAAAAAGAATCCATCAGTCGGCACCACAGAGCTGTGGTTGGCACTAATGTAACTTTAGATTCAACTACAAAACATTAGTTTGTAAAGCTATGGACTTGCTTGGATTTGTTTATTTATGATTTATGATTGTTTAAAAAAATATTTATAAACTATCCTCATTTTGAGGACCACCAAATAGTAGCGTATTATACCTAGAGAAGTTTTAGTGGCTGCCACGCTTGAAACAAGATCATGGAGACCCAACAAATTTAAATGGATGTAAATAAAACTACAAAATGACTTTATTAGCCCCTACTTTTATTCAGTCATTTTAAATAGCACAAGGAGGTGCGGGACACGGGCTTGGGGAGCACGGGGAACAAGGGGGACAGGGTCCGCAAGTCGGGAACGGGATACAACACGGATCACAAGTAGCACAAGGTGGACAGGGTTGCGTAACGGTCACACAATTAGTACACGGTAAAAATGGCCTTGGAGGCGGTGATTGTAGGTATCCAGCGGGGCAAGGCTGGCAACAAGGCCACGGGATCATCAACGGGGTCAGGCAGGCCGATTCCGGGACTACGGGGACTCGAACTGGCCTTATGGGACATCGCTTTTCGACGTTGGGACACACCGTGACCGGGACGCAACAGAATTGGGGATAGCACGGATCGCAATAGGAAATGTTGTACGCTTCTTTAGGCATTTTTGGCGAACTTGAATTTTGACTTTGATTCGAATTTGATTCTTTGATTTTTGAAAATTGTCAGATTGTTTGAAGTTTTATTTTTGTGGTTCTCATGGTTACCGTTAGAAATAGATTTCTTCTTTTTCTTCTTCTTCTTCTTCTTCTTCTTCTTCTTTTCTGTTTTTGGCATATATGTTACTAGTTACTATCCTAAAAATAATACCGATATCTTTAGTGTCCACATACTTTGATTTTCTTTTACTATACGGAGAATGGTCGCACTGCGCAGCTTTCTGAGTGTCTTTTAAAAGGAGATAGAAAACTTCGCCATTTTGATCCCTTATTACGTGTTGCCTACATCTTGGCGCAATATTTTTAATAGGTGCGTTTTAATCACAGGTTAAAACGATTAAACCGACAATTCCGGAAGCAGTAGCGGATGATTAAAACGCACCTGATATTTTGCTTGCTGCTGTCAGTGTCAGTGAATATTATTTTTGGAGTCACAGTTTATTGCTAAAGAATCAGTTAGCTCACTCGGACCAGTTGAAAGTTCAAAAATAACATCCACTCCAGGGATACAAATTCAGGATACGCAGAAGACTGCTGTTTTATTATAGGCGGTTGTCATATATTGTATTATCCGAATTGCATAGTGTATAAACTGAAACATTGAGATCCAAAGTGCCGACGCAGAGTGAGCGATCTGATTCTTCAGCTGTAAACTGTGTCACAGGGTTCAAAATGGCCGCGCCCTATGTTAGGCGTGTCGGACTTCTCTCTTGCACCGTATAGTAATCAAAGTATGTGCTGAAACCTTATTTACTGCTTTTGGGTGGAAACTTTTTGATATTAACAAACATATGAGATTGTCCCCCTTTCCTCTAAATACACTTCATATCTTCATAGTAGTGTGAAATGTCACAATGTACTAAACATAGCTACTTTTACTAAACCACCCTTTACGAAGTTACCTTGACTAAAACCACATTGTCATACTTGACAATTAAAAATCTGGCCGTCATGGCAGTATGCCAGTGCCAAAATGCGCCGTGCTCTATACAGACAAGTTCCTCAATCAACAATTCCTCGACTTTGATCTAATATCCATTCCGGGATTCAGAAGTATCAGAAGATGCGATTCGTTATTAGACGCTCATAACTTTGGATCATCAAAACTGGATTTGTTTGCCTATTTAGTGCGATTCATTCATCTGATTGGTTTTATATTTCTTGTGGCATTTTGCGCGCTGGCCTATAAAGTGCACAACACCCACCATCATCATTTGCATCACGATCACTCTCCAACTAATTCGATGTCGTGAGTAGGTGCTGTTCTTCGAAAAGTTTCATGGAGATGTCACCTGGAAGACGTATTTTACCCAAAAGCCTGTGAAAATACATATATGAAGATTATGTAATATTTTATCTAGTTACCATTATAGATGAACGAATAACGTATATAAAGAAGGTATTTAATAAATTTAATTTTGCAAAAGAGTAGCTTTTCATCAGCTTTATTTGCACTAGTGAAAGCGTGAGAGTAACACGTTTTCCGAAATTTATACAACGTCATAGATATCTATCGGATTTTACAGATTTTTAAATAGTGAATACTTTTTTATGTCATCTGGATTACTCGCGAGTAGTACTAGAGCTGTTCATGGCTTTAACTGAACGTTATTACGTTCTTTTTGAACGGTGCTTGTTGATCTGGAGCAACTCCCACCAGTTATCCCTTGTTCCCCCAAGCACGTGCTCGAAGCGGATGCACAGAATCCTTGTCTCGTCAATTGGGGTCACATACTTTGATTTTCTTTTACTATACGGAGAATGGTCGCACTGCGCAGCTTTTTGAGTGCATTTTAAAAGGAGATAGAAAACTCCGCCATTTTGATGCTTTATTACGTGTTGCCTACATCTTGGCGCAATATTTTTAATAGGTGCGTTTTAATCATCTGCTTCTGCTTCGGAATTGTCCAGTTTTCTTGTTTTAATCTGACAGGTTAAAACGACTAAACCGACAATTCCGGAAGCAGAAGCGGATGATTAAAACGCACCTGATATTTTGCTTGCTGCTGTCAGTGTCAGTGAATATTATTTTTGAAGTCACAGTTTATTGCTAAAGAATCAGTTAGCTCACTCGGACCAGTTGAAAGTTCCAAAATAACATCCACTCCAGGGATACAAATTCAGGATACGCAGAAGACTGCTGTTTTATTATAGGCGGTTGTCATATATTGTATTATCCGAGTTGTACAGTGTATAAACTGAAACATTGAGATCCAAAGTGCCGACGCAGAGTGAGCGATCTGATTCTTTAGCTGTAAACTGTGTCACAGGGTTCAAAATGGATGCGCCCTATGTTGGGCGTGTCGGACCTCTCTCTTGCCTCGTATAGTAATCAAAGTATGTGATTGGGGTGCATTTAGAATGGCAGGGTGTAGAACGAGCGAGGCTGTAATGTTCTTAGGAAATTAATTGCTTTTTACCCAGTGTTTCTAAACGACTCCCATTACGTCACCATTCTTTAATATTGCTTGACAGTTAGAAGTACAAGTGAGTTTACTGAAACGTGCAGACACGCCGTGCGAGGTTTCTGAACGCACTCCTGGAGTGCGTTTAGAAACCTCGCACTGCGCGTCTGACCACCTACTAGAATAGGGTCCAGGGCCGTGTGAGGTTTCTAAACGCACTCTAAACCATTGTCAGTCGTTCTTTTCTGACATCATAGGGTTTCATACACCAAAAATAGTAAACCTTTAAAAAGAAAGCACTCAGTAGATTGGGTTCAGTGCGTAAATAAAACTGCGTTTAGTATCCATAGAAACATTTATATTAATTATGACAAAAATTTGACACCCACGTCGTACATCCAAAATTCGAAACCGCCAAAATTTAAGTTAAAAACCCCCATCGAAAATGGATTGCGCATGTTTTTGCCAGCCCTGTTACACCAATAAATGTTGTGTACCGATTACCATATGTCCGGCCGCTCCTCAGCATTGTCCCTGCGATCCCTTGCAAGTGCCATGCGTACCCATCAGCGCCGTGTTCAAACCTGTTGTCCGTCCTGCTTATCCCGTATCCGTTTGCCCGTATCCTCCGAGAACTAAAGAAGCCCCTCGTGGACCATGTCGGCCACCTGAACTACCAGCGCACCCTTGCGGTGAATGTGTCATTATCAAACGAAGACCCATCAGACCTCCGGCTTTAGCGCCTGGTGGATACTGTTGTCCTCCGTTCAAAACGACCACCGGAGCTGCTTATAAAACTCCTGTTTGATTCAACGTAGGTTTAAGCAGTAACATTACTTTTATAATGAGATGTATTAAACTTAGTGAAATTGGTTCTAGATAAAAAAATTTATTGGATTCTTCATTAAGAACCAAATTTAGCTTTGAACTTAGTTTAAACGTTATTATTGATACAACTCTTTCTAAAACATTTTCAATTCTTCATATAACTAGTTTTTTGAACCGGTTAGATTATTTGCTGTTTTGTAATGTTAAGGCTTGGACTGATCATTTAATTTTGTGACTTGAAGTTGTAACGTGAAAGTTGGTAATGTGTAACATTCGAATAAAAATGTGCAGTTTTTGATTTGTTTTAATGCTTCAGATGAAAATGGCTCTTATACTTTACAGTTTGAGCGCAAGCAATTAATCAGAAAAAAAGTTTGCAGTTTGTCACATGTGGATCAATTTAGTTAAAGGAACAGCTATCAGAACATTTTCTAACCTCATCTTTTTCCATCATCAATAATGAACTTCAATGTTGTAGTGAGAATAATATTCGTACCTAAAACTCATGTATGTACAACTGATTTCAAATAAAATGCGTACATGAAAAAGCAAATACAACAGATTTTTCACTCAGTGTAGTTGCTGCATTTATCTTGCACTCGTTTTAATCCCTGACATGAAACTACAATAATTAGCAAATCGTTCCACAGATGCATATTGAAAAGAGTAGGTATAGCTATATAAACTTTTTTTTGTAAGGTAAAACCAAATGTACATCTTTTTCCATTGACCCTGTATTAAAAGTTCCACTTAAAAAATAAATGTAATCTGCCTGTTACGGCACTGAAACCTAATACTATCTTGTATAATAGGTCTTTTCCTTTGCATCGAAAGTGTAGCACTGAGCTACACTACTTTTGAAAATATCGTTCCGTTTATACAAATTGTATGGATAGAACAATATTTTCAGAAATGACGTAGCTCAGCGCTACACTTTCGATGCAAAGGAAAAGACCTATTGAATATTGTAAATAAAACGTCAATTTTAGTAATTATTTAATAAATTGTTAGACTTATTTAAAAGACATAGGAAAGACTTTTTCATCACTTCACAGTTCACTTATTGACAGCACCACTGGACTCGCTTTACTGAAACAAAAAAATTAATATTTTATACTATTTTTAGAAATATAAAAAGTTGACCAAATCATTTTTATTAGGTACGTGAGAGAAGGTGTTAAGAATATACAAAATTGGTACGTTTTAATGAAATGCCAGAGCCATGGCAACTGGGAACATTAGCCTCATTCTACTCAAGATGTTAAAAGATGCAAAATGACCACTGAATTCTTTCTTTTGTGTCATCTGGGTTACTCACGAGCAGTAGTAGTGCTGTTCCTGACTCTAACTGAACGTTCTATTTTAACGATGCTTGTGAGATGGAGCAACTTTCACAAGTTCTCCATTTTCACCTCAAGCAGTTACCCGATGGTTCCATACACCAAGAATATTAAACCCTTGAGAAGAAAGCTCTCATTGTGGGGCTTTTGCCTAGTGTTTTTGTACGAGATACACTATTAGTGTTTTTTGCTTGAATTTGTATGAGTCTAGTGTAGGCTTGCTACCTAGGTGTTGGTAAGGGATACTACTGGATAGTAAGCACACTATTAATGTTTTTAACTTAAAATTAGTATTAGTAAAACAACTTTATGTTGAAACAGTTCCTAACTTAATCTAAACAATTATGCTTACCGATACTTCACTAACAAGGTCTGCAGAACGGTGTACAAGGACCCCCGCACGGTAGACAAGGTCCACAAGGAAATGTCGGTGGGGACAGGAAGAACGGGATGGTATTTATCGTTTGTTTCATATACTGGAAAGGCAATTGGGGCATACAGTACGGAACGTATTCTAGTCTAAAAACGTAAGACATTATGGATAAAAACGCTAAAATTTTGTCGATAGGCCTAAATAATTTTAAAGTCACTGAAATTTTTGACAATGTGGTAAATTGTTTTTATGCAAACTCGTTTCTATGGTTTTCAGGATTTGCAGGTAGGTTTTCTAGATCTTTAATCACGATACTCCTGACATTACTATACGGTGAAAGAGAGAGGTCCGACACGCCCAACATAGGGCGCGGCCATTTTGATGCATTTACCACAGTTTATAGCCAAAGAATCAGTTCGGCACTTTTGATCTCAATGTTCCAGTTTATACACTGCGCAACTCGGATAATACAATATATGACAACCGCCCTATATTCAAACAGCAGTCTTCTGCGCATCCTGAATTTGTATCCCTGGAGAGTGGATGTTATTTTGGAACATTCAACTGGTCCGAGTGAGCTAACTGATTCTTTAGCAATAAACTGTGCCTTTACTACTAGGTTAGGCAACACATATATTTCCTAAATGTTAAACTGGTAGTCTATACATCATGGTATTTAGACAATAAAAAGAGAACAACAAAGCACTAAAAATTAACATACAATCACCAATTAATTAAAAATAATCGTGTAAATCACGTCTAAAACATAAAATGATATATAAATTCTCAAAACTTGTTCGTTGGGGTTTATGTAAACACAAAGAAAATTGTAAAATCACGATAAACGGCAAAACGAGCAAAACACTCCATAAACCAGCTATAAAAAATAATATTCACATATTCACTGACACTGACAGCAGCAAGCAAAATATTAAAAATATTGCGCCAAGATGTAGGCAACACGTAATAATGCATCAAAATGGCGGAGTTTTCTATCTCCTTCAGAAAGCTGCGCAGTGCGACCATTCTCCGTATTAGGCATTCTAACGACCTGTCCAAATGGCTACCAGTGGGTAATGACAGTTTAGATATGGCAACCCTGTTGTCATGTTGTCATTAACAGGTCAATGATACATATATAGTTATATAGATTGCTCAAAGCTGGTCGTTTACGAGCGGCCATATTGCCTGGCAAATATTTATTAATTTGAATCGGTTTAGCAAAAATGTGTTTTAAAACCAATTTTTAGCCTTCAGATATTTTAAAAAAAATAATTGCTTACATTTTTACTTCAAGGCATACGCTTATGTTTATTTTGAAAAATATGGATAATCAATCTATGTAACTATCTACTTCATTGACCTTGTCAAATCACCAGGCCTACAGGGTTGCCATAATTTTGCCATATCATAACCCGTCAAAACCCACTGGTAGCCATTCAGTTTGGAATGCCTAATAGTAAAAGAAAATCAAAGTATGTGATTGTGATGGCACTATCTCAATGGTAGACAGAGATAGTTCTTACCTCTACACTTTCATGAAGACGTCTCCATACATTTAAGGTAATAGATCTTTTCCTTTGCATCGAAAATGTAGCACTGAGGAACGATATTTTCAGAAGTGGCGAAGCTCAGTGCTACCCTTTCAATGCAAAGGAAAAGATCTAATGTTACTTAGGACCGATTCCATTGTTGTGTTAAACGAAGTTTAAAATGACATTTTTACATTAACAGTGTCATTTTAATCTCCGGTTAACACAACGGTGGAATCGGCCCTTAGTATCATAATCTTTGGTATCTTTAGTTTTACGAAAACAACTTTGGACAAAATCATTATTTAATATTACAATTGAACAGACATTGGTATATTGGCCTTCAAGGATACGGACAAGGATCTTTAGACGGACATGTCTTTCTCTTTGGAATACAAGCACTAAAAGACGGCGTTACAACTGGAACGTACACGCAAGCCTGCGGAGGAATACAAGGACCACAAGGGGGCGCGCAAACGCTACACGGTGGTGGAGCGCCGCAGGGTTGTACTGCTGCGCAGCACGGCGGCGCGCAAGGCTTCAATGGACACGGCAACGGCGGCATGGGACAAGGAGGACTGGGTCCGCTTGCTTGCATCACAAATGGGGGACACGGTCCACCGGTAACACAACACGGGCCTCCAGTTGGAGGTGGGCATGGACCACAACCAGGTGGAAAAGGTAAACACGACATGGTTACTTCTATTCTAGACTATTTTCGGCACTTGGAGAAATCTGGAAGTTGGAGAATGATTCTTTTTCGAGTGGTGTTTCATAAATGAAAAAAAAAAGCGAAATTTAAAAACTGTTGATTTGGTAACTTTTTGAAGTAGTAAACTGATAGTTTGGAATTTCGTTATGACATATATATCGATGTTTCTTTGGAAACAGGTTTGAGTTTTGATTTTGATGCGCTACTACTTGATTTTTTAATTTGCTCTACCCACTGATCTGTAAAATAATACAGATAGTGGCTCTACCTACAGAGTAGGTAATTTTGTGCTTTGGCTATCCTCGAAAGATACTATCAGATGCGGCGTTTGAGAATTCACATCAGATATCGGATGCATCTGAGATGTAGTAAATCTTTGATCACGTGATTGAGTTGAGTATACGTAAATGTAATAGGACAGATGTGTCCGATGTGGATAAACAAACGCTCGAGATGTAAAAAATGCATCCGATGTGGATTCTCAAAGGCGGCAATGGTATTAACATTATCAGTTCATATGTTCACTCTTCGTGTTTTCAAGAATTGAATAATTACCTAAATCCACATACTTTGATTTTCTTTTACTATACGGAGAATGGTCGCACTGCGCAGCTTTCTGAGTGCCTTTTAAAAGGAGATAGAAAACTCCGCCATTTTGAACCCTTATTACGTGTTGCCTACATCTTGGCGCAATATTTTTAATAGGTGCGTTTTAATCATCCGCTTCTGCTTCGGAATTGTCGGTTTTCTTGTTTTAATCTCACAGGTTAAAACGACTAAACCGACAATTCCGGAAGCAGAAGCGGATTATTAAAACGCACCTGATATTTTGCTTGCTGCTGTCAGTGTCAGTGAATATTATTTTTGGAGTCAAAGAATCAGTTAGCTCACTCGGACCAGTTGAAAGTTCCAAAATAACATCCACTCCAGGCATACAAATTCAGGATACGCAGAAGACTGCTGTTTTATTATAGACGGTTGTCATATATTGTATTATTCGAGTTGCGCAGTATATAAACTGGAACATTGAGATCAAAAGTGCCGACGCAGAGTGAGCGATCTAATTCTTTAGCTATAAACTGTGTTATATGGTTCAAAATGGCCGCGCCCTATGTTGGGCGTGTCGGACATCTCTCTTGCCCCGTATAGTAATCAAAGTATGTGCCTAAATCACTCTGTATCATACTTGTTATAATATAACTCCTACTGACTAGGCAACCAACACTACTCTTTTATTGGTTTTGAATACTTATAAATAGATGTCGCCACTAGAGGAATAGACATTTGTTGAGCTAAATAATACTTTATTTCAATCCTTAACAACTTGTTTTTATAGAGAATGAGAATGGTGAATGGGTAACATTTATACTTGATAATAACAGGTGTTCTTATTAAAACGTAAGAATTTTAAAATTGTAATATACAAATAAAAGCCTAATGTGTGTTGAAGTAAGAGGCCATAAAAACTTGAAAAAAAGAGGAAGAACATTCCAACATAACCTATTATATAAAAATGTCAAAATGTCACAACAAATAAAATAAAAACCAGAATATTGTGTAAAAATTGATATTAATGCAACAAAATTGCTAAAAAAATGCACCCAGGAATCATCCAAAGTGACAGCGACATTCCTCACGAACTGTGCGTGAAACCTCTAGCTCTAGTAGGAGTAACGGGCTTAGATATCATCAACAACGCTGTACACAAGTCGATATGGGAGACTTTCAGCAGCAACAGACGCATAGAACGGGCCCCCGTGCTGTTCAAATTAGTAGGTAACGTCCAAGAGTTTCCGATCATGAAACCGAAAAGGACTTCTTACGATTGGTACATACCAAAAGGGATTTTAAAGAAAAACTGGATCAACAAACATTTGTACGAAATACCAGCTGTTATCGTGGTATTCTATGATTTAGATTGGAATGACTCGTCATGGAGTGAAAAAATGATCGAGTGTGCTTCTAGGGTGCAGTCTATGAGGTAACGTTACTGTCTATAATTGTTTTTAATTGAATTGACTTTCTAGGTTTGGTTTGTCTTATTTTTGTAAACTTTAAATAATGAATACAGTAGCGTAGCCAGAAAGTTTATGAGAGGGATTTGAGTTTTGAAATTAAGGAACAAAGCATTCAAGGATTACAAGGACCTTGTATGTCGCAATATCAACATTTTTCAGGTGATAAAAAGAAACGATTTATAAGTGCATAAAACAATCTATTTAACTTTATAATAGGACTAATATTTACTCATATCTTGTTAAAAAATTGTAATATTTCCCTTATACAGCAGATAGAATAAAGTATTTTAAATGAGATCATTATAAAATATAATTTTCAGTGGAAATGTTAGTTACAAGGTCCTGCATTGTGTTCCTTATTATTAATCAACTGTTGACCCCCAAAATCACCCCTGTGGCTATAATAAAAATAGAAATAGAATTTATTCATCTTTGAGAATTATACACTATACAAAGACACTAGGTACATAATGTAAAATCCTATCAGACTAGTCAAAAAGTGTTAAGTAAAATACATTAAAAAATAAAATATATATAATAGACAATTCATGTTAAGATTAGTTTAACAATTTCAAAAAATATTCTATACTATAAAATACATTATTTACAAGAAAATCATTAAGATGTTTTCTTAAATCATTACGACTAATTTGATGATAACCTGTAGTATCTTCTAATATGTTACTGAACTTATTGTAACACTTAATCCCAATATATTTTGGTCTCCCTTAAATTTTTGATGATATAACAACAAGAACTTAATTTTGAAGTTACCATTTTTATATGAGCTTCCCAATGTAATTTGGGATCTAATATTATTCCTAAAATTTTTATGTCATCAACGCTTTGAATAGTTTTTCCATCAAAGTGCAAGTAGGGTTCATAATCTGGTAATATGTTTTTTAGATGAAATTGTATGAAGTTTGTTTTTGTTACATTTAATGCCAGACCGTTATCTTTACAATACTGGTTAAACTCACGAGATGCCTCATTGCTACTTTGAGTGACCTGTTTAATTTGATCATCTGCCATTACAATATTAGTATCATCAGCATATTGAACTATTTGTTGAGAGCTTAAACAAAAATTACTTATATCACTTATAAAAACTATAAAAAGAAGTGGGCCCAAAATTGAACCTTTGGGAACTCCTATTGTACATGGAAGAGGATCAGATTTTAGACTATTTGTTACAATTACTTGAGTTCGATTTATTAAGTAAGACTGTATTCATTCATTCATAAGGTTTCCATCGTATTCCTACCCATTCATCTTCAATAATAAAAGATTATGATCCACCATATCAAATGCATGGCTAAGGTCATAGAAGAGTCCCAAAATATGATTTTTTATCATTGATTGCTTGATATATAATTTCTAGGCAAGCTGCAATTGCAGTAGATGTTGACTTATTTTTTCTAAATCCATTTTGAGTATCTGGCAACATATTAAAACTTTCAAGGTAATTAGTGAGTCTAATAAAATATGCTGACTCAAATATTTTAGTTATTTGATTAGATATACATATTAAACAATAATATTCAATATTACATGCAGATCCCTTATTTTTATAAACAGGAATTCCTTTAGATTCCTTCATATTTGGGAATAACCCCGAAACAAAGGATTCATTAATCAAATGTGATATGAGTTCAGCAATACTTACAATGAGCAACAGATAACAGAATTTTAGCATTTATTTCGCCAATACCTTCAGTGGGTTTAGAAGTAGTTTTTTTGATTATAGTGATGATTTCACTAGGAGTTGTTGGAAAAAGAAAAAAACTTTTATGATGTTTATCAATACTCATAGTACAGTTAGGTACAATATTATTTTTATTTACATTAATAAAATAGTCATTGATATAATTTACTTTCTCTAAGGGTGTTAATTTGTCATCATTTGTAAGTTTAATAGGATTTAATAAGTTGTTTTTTCTTTTTCCCCTACTCTCGTTTATTATATTCCAGGATTCTTTCATTACGTTATTACTTTTTAAAATACAATCATTATTTTTTCTTCTTAAATATTGTTTTGTTATTTTTTGATATTCTTTTTTAAATTATTGTAACGTTCTGTATAATATGTATAATTTATTTCTTTCTTTAACCTGTTCATTTTACATAATAGATTATGTAACTCTTTAATATGAGGTGGAAACTGATTTTTTAATTTTTGTGGTTTTATTGCTTTCTTTGATTTCGTAAATACAATATTGTAGTGGTATAGGAATGATTCATAAAAGATAGAAAATTTATCATTAAAATTAGTAGATGTGTATACTTCACTCCAATTTTCAACTGATAAAATATTTATAAAAGTTATTGCGTTAGGATCACTTAAATCTCGTTTATATCTCTATTTAAATTCGTTATTTTCAAAATTAGGTAGTGTAATCGAACATAATAAGTAGTTATGATCAGGCAAAAAAGTATCATATACACCCACCTTATCTACATCAAAATTGGTAAAAAAATTATCTAAACAAGTTGAGGTTGTACTTGTTGTTGTACTCGTTGCAACATTTATATGATGTTTAATATTAAATTCCTTCAATAAGTCAATTAAAACAGTTTTTTGTTTACCTTCAATCAAAAAATCTACGTTAATATCACCACAGATAAAATAGTGATTGTCCTTTTGATAAATATTATGAATTAATAGCTCTAGTTGATTTATAAAAGTGCTAAACTTAGTACAAAGTTTAGAATCGCTACGCTACGCCCCTGGATGAATAGATCTATTTGATTTTACAGGGCAGCGCTAGAGGGAAGGGGCACCAGAATAACGATAGTACTGATACAAAATTCGCCCCCTCAACCACCAGGTGAAGACGCTTTATCTTCAGAACGTGCTATCGCTCTCTGTTCTAGTTGTGAGATAAATTCACAATCTCTCTTTGTTCTGCCACACGGGGATCACTTGCAGGTACATTTATCCATCGATTTATGAAAATAGTTTTTGTAAAAATACATTTCTAGGGCTACGCAGTGAGGCTGGAGAATGCTTTTTATGAATATGCTCAAACTTACTATCATAACGAAGCTAAACATGTCAAATCTCATAAAGAGCATTTGAATAAGAATTCGCATCAATATCTGTTTGTTAGGCATCAGTTTAAGATGGGGTTTTTAAATGAATTGAAGCAGGATGCACATACGGCTCACAAGTAAGTTCTTTTGATGTTTTTAACAATTCTAATATAAGATTTTTGTTAATTTTTGTACTATGTTATTAAGCGTTCTAGTTTCTCAGAATACCTATTATCAGTGTTGCTCAGTGGTAGATCTAGGAGATAGTTTTATTAAGGAAATGGGTTGCAAAATTTTTAAATTTTATTCCAGTTAAAATGACATTTGAAATTGTTGATAGAAATTAAAAATTATGTTCTCGTTTACATTCATTTATAGTAAAAAAATAAAAAATGGTACCTCTAAATATTTTACAAATTTTATTCTCTCTTTCTATGTGATGCGAAACTTTTTATGAAGAATAATTTTATAATTAGGTATCATACTTATTTTACACCTATTTTTGTTTTGGAAATTTTGTTATTGTTTTATTTTGAAAAAGCAAAATTTTCTATACAGTACCTCTTTTCTTTATTATACAGTGAGCATCATAAGTCTTACCCCCCTATCTAACTCGTTACTGGAGTCTTGTTAGGAAAATCGCTGAGACACGTCGATTTTTGATTTCTACAATGTACATTTTTGTATGAATAGTTTACCCTTAATTTCATCCCTTTCGAAAAATTTAAATGACATGGGGTGGTGAGTGATAGCTCATTTGAAAGGGTATTTTATACTCTATTTAACCGTGCAAAAAAATTTGAAATTTGCTTCATTACGTGTTGATTTATTAATGTTTTAAAATAACAAAACATCACAAACAGGAAAGCAACTAAACTAACAGTGACCTTATCTAATGGCAAAAAGTATTACTTCACGTCTGAACCAAAACCGATATCATGCAGGGCCGAATTTTAATTCTAAGGATGAGTGCGCTACGTTAATTTTCATTATTCTGAAACAATAATTAGTCGAGAATTAATGAAGCAAATTACAAATTTTTTTGCATGGTTGAATAGAGAATAAAACGCCCTTTCAAATGAGCTATCACTCACCATTTAAATTTTTCAAAAGGTATGAAATTAAGGGTAAACTATTCATACAAAAATGTACATTGTAGAAATCAAAAATCGACGTGCCTCGGCGTTGTTCTATACAAAATTGAGTTTTCTGGGACGAAATTAAGTTCTCTGGACCGAAATTAAATTCTCTATACCGAAATGAAGTTTTCTGGGCCGAAATTAAGTTGTCCTGGACAAAATTGAGTTTACCGGAATGATATTGAGTTCTCAGGAACGAAATTGAGTTCTCTGTGACGAAATAGTGAGTGTTCCGATGCGAAATTGAGTTCTCTAGAACGAAATTTAGTTCTGAATAAAATTGAGTTCACTGGGATGATATTGAGTTCTACGGAAGGAAATTGGGTTCATTGGGATAAAATTGAGTTAACCGGGATAAAATTGAGTTGTTCGGAACGGAATTGAGAGAAAAAAAATGAGTTGCCTGCAACCAAATTAACTATTAGATGAAATTGAGTTGCCCGAAACAAAATTAAGTTAATCGGGACGAAGTTAAGTTGTTTGGGACGAAATATTGAATTTCCGATGCGAAATTGAGTTTTTTTGGAACGAAATTTAGTTGTCCTGGATAAAATTGAGTTCACTGGGATGATATTGAGTTCTACGGAACGAAATTGGGTTCCCTGAGATAAAATTAGTTGTTCGAAACGGAATTGAGGGAAAAAATGAGTTGTCCGCAACCAAATTAACTATTAGACGAAATTCAGTTGCCTGGGACGAAATTGAGTTGCCCGGGACGAAATTAAGTTGATCGAGACGAAATTAAGTTGTTTGGGATGAACTATTAAGTTTTCAGATGCGAAATTGAGTTCTCTGGGATGAAATTGAGTTGTCCTGTATAAAATTGAGTTCACTGGAATGATAATTAAGTTCTACGGGACGAAATTGGGTTCTCTGGGACAAAATTGAGTTAACCGGGATAAATTTGAGTTGTTCGGAACGGAATTGAGAGAAAAAAATTGAGTTGCTTGCAACTAAATGAACTATTAGACGAAATTGAGTTGCCCGGGACGAAATTAAGTTGTTTGGGACGAAATATTTAGTTTTCCGATGCGAAATTGAGTTCTCTGGGACGAAATTGAGTTGTCCTGTATAAAATTGAGTTCACTGGAATGATATTAAGTTCTACGGGACGAAATTGGGTTCTATGGGACAAAATTGAGTTAACCGGGATAAATTTGAGTTGTTCGGAACGGAATTGAGAGAAAAAATTGAGTTGCCCGCAACCAAATTACCTATTAGACGAAATTAAGTTGCCCGGGATGAAATTAAGTTGTTTGGGACGAAATTAAGTTTCCCGGGACCAAATTGAGAATTACGGGTCGAACTTGAGTTGCCAGGGACAAAATTGAGTTCTCTGGGTAGCTATTCTTGAATTCGAGGGAATAGAAAACCAGTTTTACCTCTTTATCTGTAACGAACAAAATTTGTATGTTTGTCTCATTCTTCCCTCAAAATTTCTACTCCCTGAGATTCAAGAATAGATACCCTGGGACGAAATCGAATTCTCCTGGACGATATTGAGATCACCGGGATGAAATTGAGTTGTACAGGTCGAAATTGAGTTCTCCGGGAGAAATTAAATTCCCTGGGACGAAATTGAATTCTTTGGGACGAATTTAAGTCGTTTGGGACAAAATTGAATTTTTCTGGATGACAATGAGTTGCCTGGGCCAAAATTGGGTATGCAGGGACTAATTTAAAATCTCCTGGACGAATTTGATTTCTGCGCGATGAAATTGAGGTCTGCAGGACGAAATTGAGTTCTGAGGGACGAACTTGAGTTATCCATGACGAAATTGAGTTCTCCGATTTAGATAAAAATATCTGATGTTTGGTTTGCGAAATAAATGTGCTTTTTGAATTAACTGTTTTTGTTATTTCGCCATTTGGACAAAAATTTTTTGTGTGTAAGTTACAAATGATAATTATTTATATCAATGTGAAGACAGACAATACCATATATTTTAATATTTAATAAGATATATTTTTTTAAGATTTAAAACTATTCCAATATATGCATTTGTATTTTTATTTACCTCTGTATAATATAATCTGCTACATTAATTTTCTACAACGTTAACTTTTGTCTAAGAATTAATTAAAAAATTATGATCTTACCTTTTACTATTTTAAATTTCGGTAATCTAAATTTCATCTTTCACTAATCTTTATTATAAAAAAATTAAGACATGACATTTTTTTTTAATTAAAAACAAAAATTGTGATAAATAAAACAAGCACATATACCTAAACTTTGTACTATGACAGATTTCATTTCCTTTTGATTACGATTTAAGGTAATTTTAGTTATCGTCGCTACATTGATAACATTTCGCTACCACAGTCAATACTCCTGTCATTCCAGATTAATGATTGACAGAATCGATTAGATACCTTTAAAAATCAAATACTTATTGAATCCGAATAGTTAGTTCTCAAGTAGCTGTCGAAGATCACGCAATGTCGACTACAAATGTCAATTTCTGACGGTTACTATACGGTACCTAGGGAGGCTGCACCAAGACCTACCTTATACGCCATTTTTTTCGAGATTACTTGATTTTGTTTGCTGTCGACTGAGCCGAAGGTCACGTGATACCGGCAACAGACAGTACAGATGTTAATTTCAGACGATACTTAAATAGGTCCTTACTGAAGTGAAAAGTGAGGTTATGTTATACCCACATAGATAGATATGTTTATTATTATTATTCTTTTTAGTAAATACTCGTGGTCTCTTTCTGGACGAAAAGGTAGCGAATTTTGCCGCGCTTTCAGCGTTCAGAGAACATTTAAAATACCAATCGAGAATATCCGGCTTATTTTAGTACATATTTGTGGAAATTATGATTGTAGCTTTTTGATTTGTAAACAAGTAATTTAAACGAAAAAACTTACTACTTAGATATCCTTATCAGTACAAGCGATATACTGCATTAACACCTAATCTATACATTCAACCGTTTTTATACCATTTATTTCTAGATTGCCTTTCTTTTAGACACTACACACACGCTTACAACAGCCTCCTGGAAATACGAATAGTCGATACGAACGCATTAGAAATCAGAACCCTAGCCGGTTTCGTCAATTACAAATTATGCCGGTTATTGTTCGCTTTAAACTTACCGCGAGACGCCATTTCTCAATTCAAATCGCACGTCGACCGATTCAAAGCCAGAATGGGTTTCCATGAACTGACGTTCGAGCATTACGCTTGGCTATCCAAACAGTAAGTATCTGCTAGATTGTTTTCCAGCGTGATTTGAGTGTCTAAAGATATTTGAGAGTCTTGCGTGATTCTAGTCTCAAGAGATTCAAGAATATTATTAGATTCGCGTGATTGAAGATGCTCAAGTGTTATTTCTAATGATTTGAATGTCTCCGAATCTCAAGAGATTACTGTGATTTAAGAAATTCGAGAGAATAAGGAGATTCGAGAATCTAAAGATATTCGAAAGTCTCTTATGATTCTAGTATCAAGAAATTCGAGAGTTTAAAGAGATTCAAGAATATCGTGTGATTCTAGTCTCAAGAAATTCGAGAGTCTCAAGAGATTCAAGAATCTCAAGAGGTTTGAGAGTCTAAAGATTCGAGAGTCTCAAGAGATTCGAAAGTCTAAAGAGATTCGAGAATCTAAAGAGATTCGAAAGTCTCTTATGATTCTAGTATCACGAAATTCGAAAATTTAAAGAGATTCAAGAGTATCGTGTGATTCTAGTCCCAAGAAATTCGAGAGTCTCAAGAGATACAAGAATCTCAAGAGATTCGAGAGTCTCAAGAGATTCGAGAGTCTAAAGAGATTCGAAAGTCTAAAGAGATTCGAAAGTCTCTTATGATTCTAGTATCAAGAAATTCGAGAATTTAAAGAGATTCAAGAGTATCGTGTGATTCTAGTCTCAAGAAATTCAAGAGTCTCAAGAGATTCAAGAATCTCAAGAGATTTGAGGGTCTAAAGAGATTCGAGAGTCTCAAGAGATTCGAGAGTCCAAAGAGATTCGAAAGTCTAAAAATCTCTAGTGATTCTAGTATCTAAGAGATTCGACAATCTTAATAGATTCGCGTGATTAAAGAGACTCAAGTGGTATTTCTAATGATTTAAATATCTCCAAATTTCAAGAAATTAGTGTGATTTGAGAATATTGAGTAATATGACAGATTTGAGAGTCTAAAGAGATTCAAAAGTCAGTAGATAGACAAAGCTACTATGGGACCACATAGGGAATTCAAAGTGTAAGAGTGAGAGGTACAGATTCAATGGGTAAGAGTGAGACATATGGTCTGAGGGTAAAACGGGGGAGTGGGAGGAAATTAAATCTCTTAATGTCGAACAGAAAAATCATGCACAAAATGAAAAGCCAGAAGAGCATAAAACTAAAACGGGGAAAACAGCATTATATAGAGAACGCGGTATAGATTAACGTCGAACAGAAAAATCATGCGCAGAACGAAAGCCAGAAGGGCCTTAGCGTGTTTCTCGGATATTACTGGTCCGATTCAAACAGGAAAAACGGCATTATGTAGATAACTTGGTATAGATTAACGTCGAACAGAAAAATCATGCGCAGTGACGGACCAAAAGGGTTTGTCAGATTTAAACGAAAAAAAACAGTATTATGTAGAGAACGTGGTATAGATGAACGTGGAAGAGAAAAATCATGCGCAAAACGAGTCAGAAGGGCCTAAGCGTGTTTCTCGGATATTACTAGTTTGATTCAAACGGGAAAAACGGTATGGTGTAGAGAACGCGGTATAGATGAACGTTGAAGAGAAAAATCTACGTTTCGTTTGAAATTTTCGTTTGACGTTTTCGTTTGACGTTTAAAGAGATTTTCCCCCCACTCCCCCGTTTTACCCTCTGACTGTATGTCTCACTCTTGCCCATTGAATCTGTACCTCTCACTCTTATGTGGTCCTATAGTAGCTTTGTCTATCTACTAAAGTCTTTTATGATCCTAGTCTCGAAAGCTTCGAGAATCTAAAGAGATTGGAGAGTCTCGTGTGATTCTAGTCTAAAGAGATTAGAAAATCTCTTATGATTTTAGTATCAAGAAATTCTGTCTATATAGAGATTCGAGAATCAAAAGAGAATCGAGAATCTAAACCGATTCGAGAATCTAAAAATATTTGAGAGTCTTAAGAAATTCGAGTCTCGAGATATTCGAGAGTCTAAAGTTTCGTATGATTCTAATCTCAAGAGATTCGAGAGCCTAAGGAGATTCAAGAATCTCTAGTGATTCTAGTATATAAAAGATTCGAGAATTGCGTGATTCGCGTGATTGAAGAGACTCAAGTGGTGTTTCTAATGATATGCATGTTTCCTAATCTCAAGAGTTTAATGTGATTTGAGAATATTGAGTAATAGGACAGATTTAAGAGTCTAGAAAGATTCGAAAGTCTTATGATCCTAGTCTCGAAAGATTCCAGAATCGAAAGATATTTGAGAGTCTCGTGTGATTCGAGTCTCAAGAAATTCGTGTCTCAATATATTCGAAAATCTAAAGAGATTCAGAAATTTCGTATTATTCTAGACTCAAGAGATTCGAGAGTCTAAAGAGATTCAAGAATATCTAGTAATTCTAGTGTCTTAGAGATTCGAGAATCTTAATAGATTCGTGTGATTGAAGAGACTCAAGTTGTGTTTCTAATGAGTTGAATGTCTGCGAATGTCCAGAGATTAGTGTAATTTGAGAATATTAAGCAACATGACAAATTTGATGATTTGAAAGCCATTAAATCATATTTTAAAGCATTATGAACGGCTACACTTTATATTACAAATGTGTCAAATTTTGTAGTCTCAAGAGATTCGAGAAATTCGTGTGATTCTAATTCCAAGAAATTTAATCTCTAAGAGATTCGATAATTTTAATAGATTCACGTGATTAGACAGACTCAAGTAGTGTTTTGAGAGTTTATAGTGATTTCAAAACCTCATAACTTCAAGAGATTAGTGTGATTTGAGAATATTGAGTGATGGGAGAAATTGGATGATTCGAGACTTTAAATCGTATTTGTAAGCATCTAACAACGGCGAATCTTATAGGTATTCCGTTTTCGGTGACATTTTCGATGAGGCTGTCAAATTGGGTCTTCCAGCCGTACAGACTCAACATCCGGGCATATATTACCAGCAAGCGGCTCAGTATAGCATACAGAGAAAGAAATTCTCTCAAGAACTTTGTTCGGTAAGTCAAAAATCCATCTAGATAAACAGATTTAACCCCGCGCGATTTTTTGGCTTTTAATATGAAGTTTGAAGAGATATTTTTGACAGGGCATGTTTAAGAGAATTGAAATATACATTTATCGTTGTTGAGCTTGTAAATATCGTTTTGTTTTAGAATATAATAGCGTATCCTCAGCCTGATCCGTTACAAGGCGCCAACCATATGGAATTTTACGGCCAGAGGCCGTGGAGACCTGGGAAATTATCTGCCGAACCTCCGGATCCGCATTTGGAATCTAACGGCATTCAAGCGTTGCAGTTCTTGGAAAAACAAATCAATCATTCCGTAAGTCGTCAAAAAATTGATAATTTTGCAATATTTTCCCTCTCTTTTTGAATTTTCCGAATTTCTTATATTCATCACTCGAGTTTTCCGATTCTCTCGAATCACTCGAGTCTTTCGACTCTCGAATCACTTGAGTTTTCGAATCTCTAGAAATTTTAAATCTCTTATTTACTCATCTGTCTTCTGAACATTTTATAAGAGTTCTATTTCCAAGTCCAAACCTTTTCTTTCTGATTTCTTTAGTACCTAATTGTATTTTATTTATAACAGAACTTGATAATAGCCCTATACGGCTTAGCCATCTCTCAGTACAAAACCTACAGGTGTCCTAGGACTAGGCGACACCTAGTTTTGCAGATGGCGGATGAATATTACGATTCTAGGGACTATGGAAAAGCTTTGACGTGAGTTTCGATACAGATGTAAGAGACGTTGCGTTACAGTTCTTTGTTTTATTTTCAGTTTGTATACTCACATGTTGCTGGATTTCCGCAACGAAAAATGGTGGGACATACTGTCTACTGTTCTAGAAAAAGCAATACTGTGCGCTTATCTTACAGCCAACGTTCAGGACTACGTGGGCTTGGCTGTAGAGATATTGGGGGCCAATATCAATACGCCTTTGAACGAAAAACGTCGTATATACGAGAATTTAATGCGATTATTGAAGGTTAGTTGCGATGTAAGTGTATGTGTAAAAATAACTTAAAAATCCCGAAATTTTTTAGAAACAAATACCTTTCGGCGATCCCAAAATACCGCAAGACATCCTCCAAAACGCCATAATTTTGTGGCAACCGGTGTTTTCGGAAAAATCGTTCAACATCGCCTTAGACATGACCAATATCACGGCAAGCGTTTCAGTTAAAGCCAGATTCATGAAGAAAACGTACGAAGTAGATCAGAACGTCATTGTAGAAATATTCGTCCGATCTACTTGTCCGTTTCCTCTAACCTTTTCGAAAATATCGGTGACCGTCAATGCTCAAAATCAAAATTCTGAATACACGGTTACGGATTCTGCAGACGTTTCTTTTAATTTTCATAAAGACGAGGTCAAGAGGTACGTCGTAGAATTTATAGCTGACTGTAACGACATAAATAAAGACATTCAGGTAAGTCCTAGCTTTATTTTGACATTTGAAGTTACTATTTGGTACCAGATTTGATATATGACGTTGACTCTTGACGTATGAAATAGCCAAACATCCCTAGGTTGCATTACTACTGAAATTTAACCTTCCAAACGGACAATTGACAGCTTTTTTGATGTTTTCAGATCAATTCCGTTAACGTATTCTTAGGCAACTCGCCGGAGTGTTGTTTGGATCTAAAATATCCCGCGTCAGTGGAATCGAACGGAAACAATATCGAATTATATCATTTTAAACATAACGCCGACAAATTGGACTTTGATAACGTACAAGCGCTGTCTCAAGCCACCGTCGTTCCGAGAGAATCCAAATTGAGAGTCGATTTTCTTCATCAAATCCCGGCTTTACTGGGCGAATGGTACGAAATAAAAGTGGTCGTTACCAACGAAGAGTTGTATGAGATCGTCGATTTGAAAATCGAGGCGTGGATCGAGGAGGAAATTGCAAATGGTGAGATTTTAATGAAACAATAATAATGAATCACCTTTTCCTGTTTATTTTACGTCTACTATTTCCTCTTATTTCGTTCTCCCATTTCCTCTCTACTTTCCTTATTTTGCTCTCCCATTTTACATCTACTTTTTAAAAAAACTATTGATTCCAGTCGAACTGTCCCTTCAACCATCCGACAAACACAAGAAGCTGAATTTGGTGTTAAACAACCCCTCCCATTTGAAGCCCACCGACCAAATCTCCACCGATTTCTTTGTACGATCGAATTTGATATGCAAATGTAACATCCAAGTCAAATTGACGTACACCCTCAGCGGCGAGAAGCAGATCTTGAGCATCAAATCCGAAAAACTCGCTTTGGCTGTAGTAGAACCTTTCGAAGTGTCGACTAAATATTTGTCGACTTTGATGGCGGAAATCGAAAAATTTTACATCGGCGAAGAATTCGGCGTTATGAATTACATTAAATTTACGTCGCCGTGGCTGATTATTGTCGAAGATACGTCGTTCGATTACGTAAGTTGGGTATAATCGAGTTTCGTATATAATAATGAGGTTCATATTCCGCAGATACATCCCGTAAGTCCTGCCGAAGAAAATCGTTCCAGTCAGATATCCGGCAAAACGTTCAACAACGAAGAAATTGGTGCCGAGTTGCATTTAGCCACGTGCAACAAACCCAACGATGACTTCGTCAACGTCGGGCACTACACGATTCGGTGGAAAAGGTATTTAATCTTCAGTTGGACTTATTCTGATCGATCGGACGGAAAACTGGACGGTATTTTGCGTCAAACTGTTCAGTCTTCAGTCCGACTAATACTGTTACTCGATCGAACGGACGGAAAATTAAACGTTTTCCTGCTTCAAACCGTACAGTTTTTTTTTAAACATTTATTTCCATATTTACAAATATATACAATTACAAACATAAGCTCAATATTTTTAAAGAAAAAATAAATTATAATTTAATACAATAAAACATTTCCTTGTATGAATCCTGTGACCGGATTGACTGATGTTTTGCCCAATTACAGCTTGCGTTGTTTCCTGATTCTTTATTCTTTGCTTACTCCTTACCCAGGTTGATATTATTAAGCAATCATGTGCTGATACGGTGTTCGCAGTGAGTGATTTGTCTAGATGTCATGTTTGAGTTTAATTTTGTCTTATTTTTTCCTGAAAAAGCTGTGAAAAAACAGGGTTTTGAAGCGTGGATGTGTGTACGTTATAGTCTTTGGTTAGTTGTATGTGATATCCACAAACTTACCAAATAGCAGGCCGTTCATAGATCCGGGTCTTCAGCTAATGGCCGATCTCCCCGGGTCTATGCCCCGCCCACCATTCGATATAGTCAGATGCCGATTGAATTGAGGATTCAGTCGGCTTTGGATATTGCACGCTCTGATTGTCATTGTTTTGTGCTTTATTTTTGTTAGGTCTCAACGATGGTATATTGTTGTTTTCATGGAGCCAAACATGCTTCCTATTTTGACTGTTTATATTTGTAACTTGGAATATGTCTTCCTTAAGCTGCGGAGGAAGACAGTTTCGGTAAAACTTCTCTGATAGATTTAGTATATATTGTTTAATAGGAAGAATGTTTGTTCCCTCAAGTTCTGTAATTCTGGTATCCCTTTCACATCCAAGGATTAGCCTCAGACACCTGTTTTGCGAGTATTGCAATTTTTTGAAGTGAGTGTCACCCATGGAGCAGAAGACTGGACATCCATATGTCAGTATCGGCCGGAGGACTTGTTTATAGAGGAGTTGTTTGTTCTTTTGGGATACTTTGCTGTTACGTGCCAGCATGGGGTATAATGTACGTATCATGCCCGTTGTTTTGGCAATATGGTCATTAATATGTTTTTTAAACGTTAGCCTCCTATCTAGATGAAAACCTAGGTATTTTATGCTGGTTCTGAGATTTATTGTTTGCCCTTGGACTTTTAATTTGTACTTGCACTACTTTGGGGATGTCTGATGTCTTTGCATGTATTTGGACATTATTATTAGAGGGAAACTGTGTAAAAGTCTTTATTTGGACAGTAGTTGGGGGTTGTACCTTTGAGTGTCCTGTTGTGTATGGGTGAAAGTCAAATATAAGGCTACTCGGTTCACCTCTTTTTTTGAACTTTCTCCATACTTTTTTTGGTGTTTTTGTACTGTGGTGATGACAAATCGGTCTGGCTTGCATACTTCCCGGGAAACTGATCCTTTTAAAAACCACTTTTGTGGGGTGGTTTTGTTCTGCCACATACTCCGATTGGAAACTCTGATTGTTTGTCTTTTGGTCAGTTATAGTGTCCTGTGTGGGATTACTCGAGAGTGGTTCAGGTTTATCATCCCCTTCCTGGGGTTTTTCCCTTTCTTCTATGGAGGGAGAGTGAACGTTGTCATCCGCGTCCATGTACTCTTCAGATTTTTTATCGTCACGGGCAGTACGGTTTAGGTTTGGATGTTTGTTTTTATTATTTTCAAGGTTTTCTAGACTGCTTTAAATATTTTCCTTAATTTTTTGGAGAATCTCAAAACTTTTTTGGGAATTCTTCATACTTTTTTGAGTATTCTCGTTATTTTCTATACTTTCTTGGGTTTTAAATTCCGGGACTTTTTCATTCGAATGAATGACGATCTTGGGGTCGGGTATTTGTTCTTAGGGATTGACATTTTCTTGTGAAATTGCTTTATTTTCGCTTTCTATCGGGGTAGGTTTGATGCTTATGTCCATGCTCTCTTCCGAGCTGAAGGTATCTTAAGTTTCCGTAAACTTCTTCTAGAAGTGCTTGGGTGTCATTTGTAGGTCGAATCGGCGAAAAAGTGGCCAAGGGTTCATCCTGATTTGGGCAGTTGACCCCTGTGTTAGTTGGTATTGTTGTTAATGCCCTAATTGTGTTTTTACTCAAGTTTATAGTGGATTTGAGTTTAGTTTTAGCCTTGATTTTTTCCGGGGTTTATATTTTAGCTCTGCGGTTTGTTTCCATCGGTTTCTCTGTCTTTGTGAATATACTGTGGGATATTCCTTCAGTTGTGTGTTGTTTGCCCCGGAGGGCTCTCCCATAGAGGTGTGGTTCCCCTTATTACGGGGTGGTTGATACTTCCTGGCTTACTCGAACGTTATAACTTAAAAATTAATCGGCTTTTGGTTAATAACCTGGTGTCGCGAATCCGAACTACGAGGAGTGGTACAAAATTCGTTAAACCTTCCTTTGACAAGTCCAAAGTGCGAACTGTTCAGTTCAGTCTTCAGTCCGACTAATGCTGTTATCTGATCGGACGGAAAACTGAACGTTTTCCAGCTTCAAACCGTTCAGTCCTCCGTCCGATTGACCGGAGTTGGTTTCAATGTTTTCATATCGATGTTGTTTTAGGGAAAACGGACACAGCACTACGACTACTCTGGCCGTTACGGGCCTTCCTTGCGATTGGGTCGCGGTGGGTTTGAAGATGTTCGCTCCGGCTCACGGTTACGTTAGAACGTCGATGGTGATCGAGTACCACGTGGAGAATAGATCGCACGAATTGGTCCGGTTGGAATTATCGATGGACGCGAGCGAGGCTTTCATGTTTTCGGGCAGCAAACAGGTAAACAATTACGTTTCCGTTTAGGAATTGCTTCTGATTGGATTTCATAGTTTTCAGTGTCCCTTTTGCCGCAATCGACGCGGATTTTGCAATACAATTTGAATCCGCTGATAGCGGGTAGCGTGGCTTTACCGAAATTTAGCATGACCATATCGGAGAATACGGAAAATGGACCGCCGGTTGTAAGTCAAGACCAACTGAATCTGCTGACGGGTCGAACGTTGCCCACACACGTTTACGTGATGGTAAGTCTAATTCACTGTGAAATATTTTTGTATAAATTTGGGGGTTTTCAGCCGCAAATGAAAGGCGAAGCTAAACTTCCGGATAGTATTCCTTCTCCCGAGAATGTAGCTGTGATTGGTTGATGTTCTCTAGGGACGTCTTTTAAGCATGTTTTCCTGTTAATAATAACTTTTAAGTCTGAATTAAAAGTAAAGGCTTGTAATATATTTTTTATTGTAAAGAGATGAGAGATTTTTTTGATAGTATAATAATAAATGTTACGCAATTGCATCGTTTGTTTTTAAATAAAAATCGTGTCCTTTTTTTTTATTGTAAAATTTCTACTGGTAGCAAAACAAAGATTGATGAAAAAATTTAAAAAAAAAGTATTTGTTGGTTATGGTATTACCCAATGAAATATTAATTTAAGGTATTAGGTTAGGTATAATACCCCAAAAAACTACATGCCACCTCGCACGTAGTTAATATTTAAAACATGTAACAAATTCTAGGGTGTGAAGTGATACGTATGGGGTGTATCCAACCCCAAACAAAAAAGTATGTCCTATTTATTTGTTGGGTGTATTGTACCCCAAATGCAATGTTAATTTATGTTATGTGGTCTGTGACACCCCAAAAAAGATTTGACAAAAATAGTGCGTGCATAATTTGCTAGTCAACGGGAATATTTAAAAAATCTATTGTACAGTCCACATTTTATGTGAAATCTATGGGGTGTATGTCACCCCATACAAGAAAGTATTTTTCGTGTATTCATTTGTTGGGATACACACAAATTAAATATTAATTTGAGGTATGGGGTTTGCGATACCCCAAAACAGATATGTGGAAAACAAATGGCGCTGCAACAGGCACATGATTATTGGCTAGTTAATTTAAAAATAATTTTTAATGTGGTATCTCAATTTTGATAATTTTAGATATGGGGTCTGCAACACCCAAAAAATCTATTATACTACATATAATTATACTACACACATATTGAGACATAACATTTTTTAGAGTGTTTAACTACCTCACAATTGATGTGAAACTTACACAAAAAGTAGTTTATTTGTTGGGTGTAAAGCACCCCAAAAAAAATACAAATTTAAGATATGGGGTCTGGGATACCCCAAAAAATCTATCACGCATACAGTTGATGTGCTAGTTAATTGAAACGTAAAATTCTAGTGTATAGTACTTCATATTTGATGTGAAACATATGGTATGTGTGACACCCCACTCGAAAGGCTTCAGTATTAACTTTAAACAAATAGGAATTCAACTTTGATCCTCTCTATCTTTAACAGCTGCTAAAATTTTGACATTTATTTGTTTGATATATAATTCAAAATATGGGGTCTGTGACACCCCAAAAAATATGAGAAACATAGTTAATAATATGATAAGTAGTGAGGTGTATGACACCCCAAGGAAAATGTATTTTTAAATGAATTTCATTCCACAGAAATGCAAATTTAAGGTATGGGGTCTGGGACACCTCAAGCAAAAATGATAAAATGTTATATTCCAATTATCAGAAAAACGTTATATTAGAGGTGTATAGTACCCCTCACTTGAAATACATTTGGCACCCCACACAAAAAGTAAATTTTATGTATTTTTGAGTGTATTACACCCCACGGTAATGTTAATTAATGTATAGCGTCCGCGACACCCCAAGCAAATATCTATTACACAACGCACATAATTAATGTCAGTTAATTAAAATATGTTAAACTTGGGGTGTGTGTATTGGATTAAAAATTATTTAAATTGAATTCAAAACGACCAAGTATGTGATACCCCACAAAAATATTTATTAAAAACGTTCCAGATATATGATACTACGTTTAGAACTGATATTCCTACTAATTAAAATAGTGTGGGCTGTGTAAAACCCCAACAAAAGTTCAATCAGAACTACCGGTATGTGGGAAGTACCCACAAATCTATTAACGATATACCTCACTTGTGTGAACGATCGTGTAAATATCCGTAAGAACTGATGGGGTGTGTGAGACCCCACAATATTTTCGTAGTCGTCAACAGCCTCAGTCCGAGAATCCATATGCTCCGTGATTTTAAATTAACAACAAAGCGTACAGATTCTAAAACCGGGACTGTCCATACTCTCCGATTTGACATGCAAGTACAAAAAAAGGTAAGTTTGAGTTAACAATATTAAATTTTGTATATATTAATGCAACAGAGCCATCCTGTAACTTAATCTACTGATTGTATTAAAATACATACACAAATCTAATTAATACAACTCTTGAAATTACGATTACAGATAATCTCTCATTACAGTCGCCATCATTTTCATCCGAGAGTACGTATCACATAAATGTAAGAAATAAAACACCCGACTTTTTATTATATAATTTATTTTATAACATATTCGTCTCATAATAGCGTTTGTGAATGTATACGACATGGATAAATGTAATGTCATTAAGTTGGTACGAAAAGCCCTTACAATATAAATTCATTTAGTTGAAGTGCGCAATAAGCACGATGGTCCCCAACATAAGATCGATTTTTCTGTCATGAACCGGGATAATTATTTGATTTACTGGACGCTTTTTATGTAGTTAATTTTTCTACTAATGCTGCTGCTGCTAACCTTTAAAAGGTTAGTTCTTGCAACTTTAATCTTCGTAATAGTGATAAACAGTGTTGCCACAAGCTTCTCTTCAATAGAGGACTTCTATACAAGGGAAGTGCAACCAACTTGACAAAATAAAATTGACACTAGCATGTGGATTGAACAACAACAATGTGAAACAGAAAATGGTTATTATAAATACTCCCGAGTGAGATGAGAAATAAAAATGGCTATGCCCATAGAGTCGCATCTTGTTCTATTGATATAATATGCACATTGGCTTTCTACCCCACTCCAGTTCATTGCTGAAAACATACGAGAAAAGTTTACATTTACCTGTCAACAGTCAATTGTCAACAACGAATCGTGTTCGAAAATTTAGATCCTATGTTAGTTAAAGAGGCTTAAATTGCCGAAATATCCTATGGAATTTGGAGAATTTTCCATCCATTGACAACACTGGTGATAATAGAAACCTGAACTATTTGACAGATGACGTACCTACAGTGACGTCACACAAGTGTGCATTGCTTTTATTACAAAAAATCGATTTATGTTGGTCACACTGGAAATATCATGGAAAAATCATCTGTCAGTTTGTTGATTATGATTTTTTCTTTAGATTTATGAAACTAAACAAATATGTATTCACTAAATATGACATTTTCGTTGATTTCCATGTTTTATTTCCATCAATAAATAATCCTAGTGATTCTTTTTATATACAAAGATAATAGTATTTAAGTTTTAATGACTGTACGTCACAGATTATAAAAAAAGATATCTATCTTCACTCTTATATTGAAGGAACTCTTGAACGCATTTCTTTAGTTATTTTAACGCTTTCTTTATGTTGGCAGCAGTTGTAGTTACATAGCTCAGAGCTGCTAATATAATTTTTTTACTTCTATAAAAGTTGTTATAGACAAAAATTTGTGAATATGAAAAATAGTTTTAGTTCAAGATCCTTCAATTTACAAATATTCAGATATATAATTTATGTAAATATAGAATATGCGAATAAAATAACAATGTAACTCAACAACTATCTATTTAAAAAGATTTTTTTTTTAAGTTTATGATAATTTAAAATAATTAGTATCTATAAAATCGTGCTCCATATTTAGAATTGGTGCATGTAGTTGAATCTACGATTACTTAAAAGTGAGTCTACTAATAGCTATTTTAAATTCCGTCTTACATTGCAAAAAATAACAATTTTTTACAAATATATTTGAAAAAAAAATTAGATTGACCTATTTTATCGACATAATAACTGTATTCATAGAAAAATAAAATAAAATCAAATAGTAATTTATTTAGACTTTTCATACACAAGTCCTTCCGGATTTAGAATTTTTTAAATCTGTATCTTTCTTATTTTTGAGTTGATTTGAAAAAGTTATTTAATTTAATAATTTCGATACCCAGTTAAAAGAACATAAAATTTTAAAGTTTTATTATAAAAAGTGATTTAATTTTTTTACTGAATTTCAGTTATTACCATGATAACTTAGGACAGTTGAGCGAATGTATATACTGATGCGATATTCAACTATATAGAATTTTATTACGAACACTTATCCTACATATTTTAAAAATGTTCTTACTATCTGCATTATATTACTATTATTATTCTATCTTCAAATATGAAAACTAAATTTTACTTTTATTTAATAACATATTCATTTATCTATCATCTATCTAATTGAATATCGATACAGTTGATGTTTTGATCAAGACGAAAGTGTTTATTACCCTTTTTGACATAAACGTTTTGTAAATGTAATAATAAAAGCTCAGTTAAATGTCAAAACTGTCACTTTAATAAAAATAGCATTGAAGTTACTTCAAATGATAAAACTATCAAACAAGTTACATTAAACGTCAAAACTGTCAAAAAAGTAACACTAAACGTCAAAATATTCTCTTTAAATGTCAAAACTGTCAAAAAAGTAACACTAAACGTCAAAATATTCTCTTTAAATGTCAAAACTGTCAAACAAGAGGTGTGTTCTTTTATTCAACAATTGTTCCATCAGTGATTGATGTCATGACGTCACTGATAAATTTTTGGTGGAAGGTATTTGCGCTGAAAATAAGAACGACCGACATTTTTCAAATGAAAAATTTGACTTTTGACATCGCTTCAAAATTTAAACCCGTTTTCATTTAAATTAACAGTAATTAACTTTTATCTAAATAATCGTATTCACACGTTCAAAAAAAATTGATTAACTATCCCCTCAATTCATCCATCACATATTCATGGATGCGTTGGCTCATTGGTGAACTCACCACTGGAAAAAAGAACGATTGACACATACAATTATCTTTCCATCGCTTAATTTACGAACGGTTTGCTGCAAGCGCTGGATACAGCGCTGAATAAAAGAACACGCCAAATAAGTTACACTAAACGTCAATATCGTCACTTTAAATATCAAAACTGTCAAACAGGTTACATTAAACGTCAAAATTGTCACTTTAAATGTCAAAACTGTCAAAAAAAGTTACATTAAACGACAAAATCGTCACTTTAAACGTCAAAAAATAAAACAGTTACGTTAAATATCTAAACTTTCATGTAAAATGTCAAAAATACATGCCAGGTGTCAGATAGTGCGTTAAAATTGAAAGTTGAGCATCGAAATTTATTTTAAACAATATCTCGT